ATCTCTAATTAGTATGGGAACCAACAACAAACAAAGTTACCACATGGTAAAATTTTTAAAGTTACCAGGTGGCAAAATTAACACAGTGGATAATATAGAGTACCCGAAAAGTTACCAGGTGGCAAAATAAACACAGTAGATAATGTAGAACTGTGAGTACCCTAATTATTTTTAAATACGAACATTTTTAAACGATAACCAAATATAAAGTATTAATTTTTACCATGTATTATTTTCCTTAGTGTAATGTTTATTAAATTTAAAAATTTTACTAAGCGTGTTTCAATAACCGATAATCCTATCTGTTATATATGTAATGGCCAAACCCGATCTTAGGACAAACTAGTTTTACCGAGGCTAAACCAGATCAGGGGCCACAGTATTTTCGCCCAGAACACCTTTCCGGCAGACAGAATTCGGCTGCTCTTCAAAAAAATAACCCTCATCAGTCCAAATCCAGCTACGCAGTTCACAATATTGTTGCATCCAACTTGTTTCCGCTTGGACGGATATATTGGATCTAGGTAGAACTACTTTGGCCTAGGAAAAACTATTTTGTCGTAAGATCGAATCGGGCCGGTAACATATACAAAGATTGGTTAGTTTATATTTTCATAACCACATCACGAACGGACAGCTCAATCGATGTGTTTAATTCTTTTTGGATTCTACTCGATGTTTTCTGTAGGTTTGTGGTAAAAAATTTTGAAATATAGGGTCGCCAGATATTTGAAAATTTAAAATTATTTAAAGGTCAATAAAATATTTAAGTTTCTTCATCAAAACTAAAAGCGTTGGAAGATATTTAAAAATATTTTTGAACGGGGTTGCCACCTTTCCAAAAAATATAACAATGATTATTAAAAATGTAAGCTTATTTAATACCACAATATGGGTATCACATGAAAGGTGTACGCATAAGCTTTGGACTAGAACGTTTTTAAATAGGGTTGCCACCCATCTGTTAACTAAGATGAGGTAGGTAATTATGTAAGTTAAGTAAAATGATTCAATATGCATTTTTGCACATTCGATAGTTTGACATGGTAGCGACGATATATCGCACTCAATTTAATTTTTTAGATAGGTGCCAACTCTATCCAGAAATATGTAGCGGTCAAAACTTTATTTTAACACCTTTTGTTTGATTATTATAGAAAAATGGCAACCCTATAAAAAACTATATGTAAATTAAAGTATGTATTTTCAAAAACCTTTCCTGGGAGTGCATAAACCTTCCATTTGATACCCATATTGTGGTACTAAATAAGCTTAATATTTTAATAACCGTTATTGTATTTTTTAGGAAGGTGGCAAGCCCGTACAAAAATCTCTTCAAACGCTTTGAGTTTTGATGAAGAAACTAAATATTTTCATTCAGCCTTTAAATAATTATAATTTTTTAAATATCTGACAGCCCTATTTTTTAAATTGTTTACCACATACCTACAGAAATAATCGAGTAGAATGAAAGAAAAGTACACGCATCCATTGTGCTGTTCGTGCGTGATGTGGTTATGAAAAGAAAAACAAACTAATCTTTGTATATAGCACAAAGGAATATCGGTTATTAAAACCCACTTGGTAAAATTTTTATATTCGATCAACACCATATTTATTTTTAACGATTTTATAGCAATTCTACGAAAAACTGTATTTTCCAAATGTGAAATACCTGGGACACTTCAAAGCCCTGGCGGCACTTATATTAACCAAAATTAAAAAAATACGTGTTTCCTTATTTATGATATTGTTCACTTCTGGGGTTGGCAGCAGGATAAATGAAAAAAGGAGATTTTCCTATGCATTTTTGGCCCACCATAGTATACATACATACTTCCATGTACGTAGTAGACATGTCGATTTCTTATTTAATTTTATGATGCTGAATTCACGGCTATTGCGTGAGACATTCTTAAATGAAGGCACTTCAATTAATCAGTAAAAATTGTAGAGGCACTTCGCATTAAGGAAATGTGTACAAACAATTCCTCTAATTTTTGCACTTTACAGGCAACTAGCGGGTTAAAAGTATATACATACATAAATATACTTATTTCGATTTAACTAACAAAATATCGATTTTAGTTTTTAACAGATAATGGATTCGCTTAAACTCGTAAAGTCTTAAACTGTGTAAAACTCGTGAGTTTACGAGGCTTTTATGTGAACGCGCCCTCACAGTGCCGCCTAAGTGGGCAAAAATAAAAAAAAATCGTTATCTGCAATGTGTAAGCTCTTCACAGAAAAAAATTTCAAAAATACATTCTTAACATTTTAGAAAACAAAATTTTTTCCCCCATTTTTGTTCGCCTGTGTTATCAATCAGTGATTTGTTCTGATTCATTTTAAATTACTGGACTCTTTAATTAACTACTTACTTAATATGTCCAAATTTTTTCTTTTGTCTGATATCCATATTGATATACATATTTCAGTTACCTTATTCCCTTAATTAAAGTGAATTTTATGTTTTAAACATGTGGCAACACTTCTACGTGTCGTTTAAAAGTAAAGCATTTTCCAAACCATTTCAATTGATACCCATATTTTAATATCTAGTTCATTTAACTTATTAAATAATTTTGATGAAATTAGTAACAGGTGGCAACCCGTTTCAAAAAAATAAAACTTCATTGCACATCCAAAGGCCAGCCCTGTCACTTGACACCTCACTTTTGAAAATAGAACGAACTATATGTACATACCTAAGGTGACCACCTGCACCTAAA